TTCCTGACCATTTGCCAGAACACCAAGCATGATGTTCTTCAGACCTTAGCTACTCTCCTGGCTCCAGTTACAGACCAGCCCCTTTGACCTCCCCCTGCACTTTCCCTACCTCTACCACTATAAATAAATGTGCAAGGGCTGGGGATTTAGCTCAGTGGCACTTCGCCTGCCTCGAAAGTACAAGGTCCTGAGTTCTATCCCCATTACAAACAAAAAAACAAACAAAAAAACATGTGGCCATTTGCTTGGTGGTTTTTTCCTCCCATGAGTTAGAGCCCCACTCAGCCCCACCTATAACTTATTAAATCTTTTTGTCTGCCTTTCTTAATCTCTCACCTTTGTTTTTCACTCCGAGAACCCTTCAGCCATGTGGGTTGTGGCAAAGGCCAGCTTGGGCAATTTAGTGAGACCCTGTCTCAAAAAATAAAAAGGGGGCTGAGGATGTAGCTCAATGGTAGTGTGCCTGCCTAGCATTTGTGGAGGTCTGGATTTGAGCCCACCAAACAAAAAAGCTCCATGACTTCCCCCACCTTGGTGCATCACAACTTCCTCCATATCCTGCATGCATAGATTACCTCTAACTTGGTGCTGGCAAAAATCAAGACTAGGCCAGGCCCCAGGGATGGGGGTGCACAGAGAGACACATGGGGAGTCCTAGGCAGGAGACTGCCACGGGATAGGGCTTGTGGCTCTGAGAAGGGATGGTGGAGCCTCTGGGCCCAAGAGACTCAGGCTCTGGGCCAGCCACAAGTTGCCTTTTGGGACAGAGGCTACTGCAGAGGTTGCTGTGACCCGCTGGTTCAGCTTGAGAGTGTGAGCAGGAGAAAATCACCCTACTAGGGAACCAGCCAAGCCCAGCTGGGCCTTGTTAGCTCCACTGGAATGGCAGGATGGGGCTCGGAGATCGGGCTCAGACTAGGGTAGGCATGGCCACCCACCAACCTTCTTTCTTCCTTAGAATATTTTCCCTTTGAATGTCTTTTACAGGAATGGATTAAAATCAAAGGGTATGTACACAGCCTTTGATTCTTCTGATTTGAAACAATCAACAAAATAAACAAAACTCACAGGGCACCAAGGGCAAAGAAAGCATCTGGTCGGCTTTACAACCTGATGGTGGAAAAGCTAAGCTCTTTCTTCAGCTGGGGTTCTGCCCACAGAGTTTTACTTAAACTCAGCCATTTCCCTGTTTTTTGGCTCTGATACCAAATTACTGATTATTCCAAGCTGCTTTACAGATATTCAGCTACAAACGCACATTTGAGGAAGGCGCCATATACCAAGGGACTTTATGAATGATAACACTGCTCTTGTCACACACTCATCCACAGTGTGGAGTTTGCCCAGTAAAAGCGAAAGAGGGAACGTGTACAAAGTTTGGCAGAGAAGTGGCCCCTGGCTCTTGCCTGTGGTGGGAGGCCCTGATGAAGACACTGGGACACAGAGGGGACACAGATGTACCCAGCCAGGAGCGTTCCTGTGTTTGGGGAGGTCCAGTAAGGGGCTGCTGGCTGGTCTGGGCACCGTGCTACCATCCTCCCACTGGCCTCCCCCGTGACTGAAGACTTCTTTGGCATCTGCCCACATAGTGGGCCATCTATTGCTAACTGGTATGTCGGTTTGAGGCTTTATGAAATCATTCTATTGTCATTAGGTGCTGTGAGGGCCTCAGGCACAGTCTCCCTTATTTATCAACAAAATGCTTTTAATTGTATAATTATTGTATTCCCAATTCTGTAATGTAAGATTTTTGAGGCCTCCTTGGGAAAGATGCATTGATTTTATCCGAAACCAGACCAACAATGCTTCCCTTCCCTCTCTGTAAGCTTCGTGCGGGCAGGGAGCTCATGTGCTTTGCTCAGGGCTATGCCCAGTACCTAGGAGGACATCTAGTGGTATGAATCAGGGACTGGATAAGTCTGTGGTTAGCCTGGGCTCACTGTACCTCCCTCTCCACCCTTATCTGGTCACTACTCACAGTGGATGAATTTATAATTAAGTGGGGTTCTTCATAATAAAGTTTCAACTAATCAATTAAACCAGAGAGTTAGGGTGCATCTGGCCTAACATTCCCAGGCTGGCAGCTATTCCTGCTGAGGGAACACATTGAAGTCTGCAGACACTGTGCCATGGCAGGGTACTTGTGTCCCCCACCTCCCACCTCTCAGGGCCTAGTACAGGTGAGCTGGCGAGGCAGCAGCCAGACTTTGCTAACTAGAGTAAGCAGATGGCAGCTTCTCAGGAGCCTTCAGTGGGCTCTTGAGGGAAAGCGAGTGAAGGGGTGAGAGGCCAGAGGGTGGGTCTCTGAGGGGTGGTCTCCAGACTCAGCTAGGAGGGATTTACCAGCAGTAAGAGGTCCCAGGCTTTTCGGACACAGCTGGGCCGCCATCACCCTAGTGCTAAAATGGCTCATGGTCCCCAGGTGTTGGCCGGAAGAAAAAAATGATACAGTTCTAGTTTAAATTCATTCAGCATCCGGTTAACAGGCTGAGGGGACCCGAGGCCAGGGCAGCATCAGTGCACATGGCACATGGTGTCTCTCACCTGCCACAAGTGCCCATGTGATCTTAGCCCAAAGGTTAATTCTCTGTGCTCTAGAGAATACAATTGCCTCTTCTCCTCCTTATCGCACAGGGTTGATGGACAAGAGCTAGTTACATATATGAAGCTCTTTGAGGCCTCGGGGAATGGGCTATGTGAACCACATGTCCAAAATACACAGCAACTCAGGTTTCAATTTCAGTTCTTCTCTCCCTTAGAATACCTTAGTTTAACTGTGCTGATCATATACTCTTGCCAACAGCAGATGGCGCTACTGGAGCAAAATGAAATGAAGCTGTTGTCATTTTAAGATTTTGTGCATTGGGGGCAAAAAAAGAAGGAAAACAAACATCCTACATCCTCCTATTTATCAAATCCAGGGCTCTCTGAACAGAGTCAACATTCATAGTGAGTTCACAGCAGTTGATTTAGGAAGGGAATCCGTTGATTCCCATTTTATAGGTGACAGATTGCTGAAAATTGGACCAGCTGTCAGGCGAGAGCAGATGCCATGTTTCTGGCTCCTCCAAGCTGTGTTTTCCAGGGGCTTCAGGAGGCTGGCCCCTTGCTCACCACTTTCTTACCCTAGTGGTTGGGCAGAATAGGACTTTGGTTATTGGGTTCCATATGGCCATGAATTGGCAGTTGAGTATTTCTAGTCAAGCCATGTCCTTTCAGCTGGCTCCCCATAGTGACCACGGGAAGGTTCCCAACAGGAGAACCAGGGCTAACCTAGTCCTGGAACACTGCAGCAGGAGAGACTGCTGAGGTACCCAGCCCAGTGACTGTTAAAGATGGGTGAACATCGGAAGCCACCTGTGAAAGGTGTGCAGAAGGCAGATTCTTAGGTCTCAGGCCTCAGACCACATGAATTAGACTCTCCAGAGGTACAGCCTCCAAAACTGTACTTATTTCTAATAAGAGTCCCCAAGTGACTCTTAACAAAATGAGGCAGTTAACAGTTTACAAGAATGGTTGTTGCAATGCACCGATCTACTCACTTCCTTCATTTCATAGTAAATAATAATAATGACAAAGATAATAATTAACAGTTACGTTCTAGGTGCCAGGCACTGTTTTAGGTACTTCATATAAATTAACTCATTTGGGCCACATAAATAGTGCTAGTGGTAGGGACTTTTTATTATTGTGCCATATTGGAGATCAGGAAAACTGAAACCCAATCCTTGGCCCTAGAGTGAGGAAAAGTTTCATCCAGGGTATTTCTCATGTGTACTTTGGATACATTTAGATCTTCCTTTTAGGCTAGTTTTAAGCCTCATAGGCAGAGGCTGATTTCTGGACCCACATTTGCCTTTTGGTTGTGTTGGCTTCAAATGCCATCACTATATATCTTTTTTTTTTTTTGGTACCGGGGATCGAACTCGGGTCCTTAGCTTTCAAGGCAGGCGGTGGAACCACTGAGCTAAATCCCTGGCCAATCATCACTATATATCTTTAGAAGTACTAGAGATAGCCTCTATCCATCAGAAAATAACAATAGGCTTAACTGAGGCATGGATACAAGTCTTATTTATGTATTTTTTCTTCTCAGTACTAGGGATTGAACTTAGGACCTTGCGGTTGCAAGGCAGGTGTGGTGCCACTGAGCTAAATCCCCAGGCCATAGTCTTATTAATTATATAGTCTCTTTAGCCTTAGACTGGATCATAAGGGGTTTGTTTTACTTGTGAAATTTTGGATTTCTTCATGAGATCTCTAAGAATTGGTCATACTCATCTGTAATACAGAAGGCATTATTGTGAAGAGTGCATACAGGAAAAACTGTGATTATCTGAAGAGTCTGGAAAGGTGTGTGTGTGTAGTGTGGTGACTCAAGATCTGGGACAGCAGTGACAGGGGAGCCAGAGCAGAAACCATGCCCCACCGAGAGTTGTCCTACAGGGGTCTGGTGGCAAGGGAACAAGGGGCACAGAAACCTTTCCCCAGGAGGTCAGCTCCTCTGTGAAGGTGTCTGGGATGCCTAAGAGAGACGAGCCCTTGAAGGTAAAGATGCTGATTAAATGACTTCCACAGACCCCTTCAGAGGCCTCCAAGACTCGAGGGGGACTGGGTCATAAGGCCCAGCGCTCAGACCCTGGATTGCCAGTCCCGAGTTCTCTCATCAGCCATGGTCCTGCCATACTCCTGAAGCACAGACAGATTAAGTCACCTCACAGAGATTCCTTAGGGAAGCAGCACCTATTAAGGGGGCTTTGGTGGATCCAATTACAGACCTGGTTCTAAACTACAGCTACACAGCCCAGGCTGACAGCATAACGTCAGTGTATGAAGCAAAAGCAACACTAGGTGGATCTAAGACTCAGAAACTTGGGCTCTGTCTGCCATGGTGTCACCTAGTCCCATGTCTGGTGTGTTGGGGCATCTTAATAAAAAGCACAGTAACTGAAGGACCCGATGGAAAAAAGCAGTGCCAGCAAGTGGCGGAGACGACTCACCTCAGCGCGCTGTACCCCTGGCACACACTGACACAGCACAGGACCTTTTCCTGGTTTGCTTGGGTCTCCCCCAAGTACTTGCACACGATGTTACCCCCCAGGCTGAAGCCCACGACGACCAGCTGGGTCAGAGGGTACGTCTTCTTAATGTAGTTCACCATGGCTCCGAATTCCCATGTGCAGCCTGTGGGCAAAAGGGTGACGTCACTCAGTCACTTTAGGGTGACAAATATTGGAGAAAATATATGCTAGAGAGCTAGTAAATGGGTGCCAATATATTAAAGGAGAGAAAATATACATATGAGTATGTGTGTATCTGTGTTGAGAGAGTCAAAGAGATAGAGACAGACAGACACTGCCCTCTGACTGCCTGGAGAGAAGTTCCCAGATGCCACCTAGTATTAGAGAACACAGGGCATCATAGTGCCCATGAAAGGAGATATCATGTATTAAATAAATGTACAATGCTCCTTTAAAGGTGGATCAGGAGAAACCTGTTTAGATGCTCATGGGCATCAAATCATATATTCAGGGTGTGCATGAGCACATACGTTCACAGATAAAAATAAAACCAAGAGCAAACCCCTTCGTGATTAGCATCTCGGGCTACAAACAGGGATGCTACACCCATGTGTGGAATGATTCATGGCATCAAGAAAAGTACTAAGTGGATGTTATTTACAGGATTGTCTTGTCAATGTCGAGGATGGAAGGGAAGACAAACTTCAGCCCAGAGGGATGGCCAAGATACTCTGCAGGCTTAGGGTACAATGTTCTTGGTGACGTAGGAATGGGGTGCCCCAGGAGTAGATCCTTTCAGAAATATTCGGAAGAGCGCTCTGAACAGAGAGGGTGCCTGGGCCTGGTTAGTCCAGGAGAGATTATCTCAGCTTGTGTCCCAGGACAGCTGTTGGAACCGTGCAGTCCGAGCAGCTTTGCTCAGAGGAGGAGGCCAACGGCCATGTGAAGGCATTCATCACATCCTTTCAGGTACAACCCCAGAGGCCAGGGAGCTAACTTAGGAGTAAAATCTAATGGGAAAGGTTAGGGATGGTGCCAGAGGGGCGTACAAAGCAGACTGGTTCATGTGAGAAGAGCATGGACTTTCCATGGAAATGTGAGTCGGGACCTGGACACCAGCTCAGTAGTCTTGACATCCCTACAGACTGGAACAGCTCCCTCCCTAGCCAGCAAGCCCTTGGGGGCACTAGACAGCTGTGTTCCTTTCGTAGTGGGACTCAGCCCAAGCTAGGCCAGCATGAGTTCAGTGCAGCAAGCAGGAGTTCAGTGCAGGGACTCAGCAGGACAGGGTGCGAGAGATGGCACTGCTGGCCCTCACCCCCAGTGACGCCGATTCCATGAGCTGTGGGCCAGGCCCCGGAATCTGCATTAAACACGTTTTTGAGTAGGTAACCCATGTGCATGGTACAAAATTCAAATGACATAAAAGATGTGGAAAAGAACATGTTTTTTATACTCTTTTTTTAATGCCAGAGATAGCACATACATTGTTTAGTATCTTGCTTCATCCTTGTAAAATATGTCTTGGAAAGCGTTATGTATCAATACATATAAAAGTACCTTACTCAAACAAAAACAAAAACAAAAACAAAAACTGCCTTACTCAGGGCAACCCTATCCCCCTTTCTGTTTCTTTTAGATAGAAGTTATCTTTCTCTCAATAAATTTTTCCTACTCTTAAAACACTGCCTTATTCTATGTATTTATGTTTTTTGAGACAGGGTCTAGCTATGTAGTTCACATTGGCCTGGAACTCACTATGTGGACCAGGCTGGCCTCGAACTCTTGGTGATCCTCCTGCCTCAGTCTCCTGAGTACTGAGAATACAGGTATGTGCCACCATGTCCAGGTATTTTTATTTTTAAGGAGGCATGTGTATACACAGAAAAATGTGCTATCAGTGAATTTTTACATTTTACACTAGGGTACCACTGTCTAGACCAAGACGAATACTCTTAACGCCTCCAGAGGCTCCTTATGCTTCTTCCCAGACAATAACTCCTATACTTTGATTCCTGATCACAAGCTGAAAGCCCTGGGAGCTCCTGGGACTTGGAAGGTGGCAAAGGATGTGTAAGATGAAGAAAACCAGTAGCCAAAAGCTGCTCCCTCCCAACACGGTAAGGGCCAGGCACCATCTGAGATGGAAGCATGGTCTCTCTGCAGAGAGATCCTAGAGGACCACCTCTCCCACCCCTCCTGGGTGCCACAGAGGCTGGGCAGTGGGTAGGCCTTCCATAAAGATGAGGGATCAAGTGCGTTCTGGCCTCTCAAGGGTCCTGGGGCCAGGCTGCTGAAGGAACAAAAAGCTGGCCCAGAGGGAACCCTGCCCCCTTAACTGTACAAATGAAAGGCCAGTCTTTTATCTCTATGTAGGTCAGATTCATCCCAGTTCCTCTTTCTAAAAAGGCAGCAATGGGAGGAATATGTAGTTCCAGTCAATACTGGGTTTCAGGTGGGAGCTGTGATGTAAAAGGAGGGGGCTCCAAATGCACTCAACAGGTATCTATCACAGATGCTCAGTCCCACAACAAATGAAGAGTCAGAAATGCCATTAAAGAGTCTGTTCACCTCCCTCAGGTCATAAGGAATCCTAAATACGGGGTCTTCAAGGAGCAGCCCGGCCTCATGGCTCAGTGAAGGGACTCTGCGTGGTCCCCATGCTCCCAATCTCCCTCTGATGACAAGTAACCCCCAGGGTAAGGACAATCTACACAGAAACAGGATGGGGCCCGGGAATAGGTGCTTTCAACAAATACCCCAGATGACTTTTTATCCTGACGGAACTTTGGCAAATATTGTTACCTTGGGCAGATTGCCAAATTACTCTCTGGATCTGTTTCCTCATTTGTCAAATGGAGGTAATAACAGTAAATATCACAGAGTTGTTTGGAGAACTGACTAAGGTGAACATATAAATGACTTAGATCAAAGTCTAGAACATAGGAAATGTTTCTTTTTTTCTTTAAAAATATCATTTATGTAAATCTATATTCACAGCAGCATTATTCATAACAGCCAAAAAGCAGAAGCAACCCACTTGTCTATCAATAGATGAATGGATAAACAAAATGTGGCAGAGTCACACAAAGGAATAGCACTTAGCTTTAGGAAGGAAGGAAATTCTGATATATGCTACAACATGGCTGAGCCTTGAGGACATTATGATAAGTAAAATATACCAGTAATAAAAAGATGAAGACTGTACAATTCTACCCGTGTATGTCAAATTCAGAAATAGAAAGTAAAATGGTGGTTGCTGGGGAAGTTAGTTGTTGTGTAGTAGGTACAGAGTTTCAGTTTTGTAAGATGAAGAGTTTGGGAGACTGGTTGCACAACAGTGTCAGTGTGTTTAATACTACTGAACTGCACACTCATAAATGGTTAAGATGGTAAATTTTATGTTTATATGTATTTTACTATGATTTAAAACATCACTTAAACAAAGACTTGTAGCTTAATACTTGAAAATGCCAACCTAAGTTTCTGGATTTTTCCCTAAGAGATGTTCTTCAACCTGGGGATCTTGTACAGCAATAACCACTCATGCCTGACCCTTCCCAGGCTACGGAAATCAGAATGGGACCAGGGTGTGGGTTCTTCTAGGGGATCCCCAGGAGATTCCAATATGAAATTGGACTGAGAACCTCTGATCTACAGAACAAGGTCTTACCAGCTCAGAGCAGCAGGACTAGGCATTTTCTGAGGCCCTGTCTCTTCCATCTCAGGACCATCTCCAGACTCCCTGCCCTTTCTACTTGCAGTAAGCAGCCTTCGCAGATGGGGGCACTGCTCAGCCTTCTGGAAGCTTCTGACCCAGAGTTGCTAGCTGGTGGAGCCTTTTTGAACATTTCCTCAAAGCAAAGTTTCTTTCAGGGGCAGCATCACTGAGCTACACCCCTGGCCCTCAAAGCAAGGTTTCTGCAAGGGGCCTAGTCCCTGTGCAACATAACCAGGCACCTATCAAACACAAAACAAAACAAACTTTAAATCTCTACAACTCCTTTCTGGTAATATTTCTCGAAAACAGTGAATCGGAAAAGCTGCGTGGAGTGAAATTTCACTCTAAGAACGATGCTCTGGCACAGTGGTCCTCCAAGTGTGGTCCCCCGAATAGCTCTCAACAGCATCAGGTTTTCCTGACAACTGTTCAAACTGAGTATCCTCGGCCCTGCTCCAGACTTACCCAATCAGGAGCTCTGGAGGGGGGTACCAAACAAAACTAGCAGGGCCCCAGAGCCTCTGATTCAATGGGTCTGGGTGGGTTCAGAATTCATGTTTCTAACATGTCCTCAGGTGATGCCGATACTGTTGGTCCAAGGACCATGGTTTGAGAACCATTGTCCTAGTTGATGGGAAAGGTGGATGAAATCCTCAATTTTCTGCTTCTTTTGTTTTTTTTAAAGAGGAATTTTTAAAAAATGCCTCATGGTGTTCATTCTAAGAAAATTCAGATGGGTGCCGTGGCACATGCCTATAATCCCAGTTACTTGGGAGGCTGAGGCAGGAGGACTGCCAAGTTGGAAGACAGAGTGGTGAGACCCTATCTCAAGAAGATATAAGCAAATAAAAAAAATAAATAAATGCCTGGGGATGTAGCTCAGTGAGAGAGTGCTTGCCTAGCATGCATAAGGCCCTGGGTTCAATCCACAGCATGCCAAAAAAAAGACAAAGGGGAAAGGAAAAAAGGAAGGAAAGGAGGGGAGAAAGAAAGAAAAGAAAAAATAAAATTGAAATGACCATTAGAAATCAATTTTCACTATCCATGTTAGAAAGGATCACCGAGTTGGCCAATACCCAGGATGGGAGAGGTTGTGGGTACACATCCGTTCACTGCTGAGGGCGCACACTGGTATAGGCCTTGGAGGGCAATATATATATTAACATATACTGATTTTTAAATAAAATCCTTTGGCTCAGCAATTCTACTGTGTGACTTTATACTGTGATATATTTGTACATGTGTACAAAGATATATGGACAAGAATGTTCCCTGCAGTGCAGTTTGGAAAGCACCCACATTTCTATGTAACCAGGATGAGTTAAATGAGGAGGTACTGTAGTCCTATCTGCTGACATGGAGCAACTGAGGCATCTTACTGAGGGTGAAGCCGTGGGATGGGACCGTGGGGAGTGGCATTGGCACCATCTCATGTGTGTGCT